CCCCCCCGGCTGCTCCGAGATGTCACAGCAGAGATGTCCCTGCTCCCGACTGAAGGAGATGATCTGTGTGAGACAGATGTCACCACCGTGGCCATACACAGTGTGACACTGCTCATTGGCCTCTGTGGGCTGGCTGGGAACGGAGCTGTCATCGGCCTCCTCAACCTAGAAATCCGTAACTATGGCATTTTTAAGCTGGCTGTCATTGACTTCCTCTTCCTCCTCTTTGTGGTCCCCTCGGCCCTCCTCTTCCTGGTGGAGGACGTGTCCTGCTCTCCTATCCTGCCCCTGCTGTACCTGAACTTCCTTTTCCAGCTGTCAGTGGTCTCCTACTACTATGCACTGCTCCGGCTGATACCCGGTGGCACTGTGCAGTGCATGTCCAGGCTCTGCAAGCTCTGCTGCCACTGGGACCTTCCTGAGCGCCTGTTGTGGGTGGTGGACAGTGTCCAATACTGGGCCTCCTTTGCTCTCTTCACTGTCATGCCGGCAGTGACATTCCTGTGCCCATCACACGAGCAGGAACACTGCAGGGCAGCTCTCATCTCCATGAACACCATCATCCTGCTCCTCTTTGTTGCACCCGTGGTCATTTCCAGCACAATCGATTTCATTAAGGCCAAGTGGGGCTCCCAGCAGCAGCAACCCAAGAGGCGCGACATCGTTATCTTCATCATTGTGCTCCTCACTCTCCTTTTCCTCCTCTGGAATTTCCTGCAGGATCTTGGTTACATCGCTGTGCCCTCCCAGGTTGTTTTCCTGCTCGCCAGCATCAACAGCAGCATCAAACCCTTCATCTACTTCTTGGCAGGGACGTGCTGGAGGCCCTGCTCCATGGGGTCCCTCCGACTCTCTCTCCAGAGGGTTTTTGAGGAGCAGAAAAAGAAAAGTGCACGCAGAGAAAAGGCCACCAGGGACACGGGGGTCTGAGACTGTTGATTCCTCCCACTGCACTGCTGAGGGACCCTAGGACCATGGCTGAGGATTTCCTTGAGTCACCTGATGAATAAATATCCACAGGATCGCTCTCCTTGTTTTCGTGTATTCCTGCAGGAAAAGGGAGCACGGGCATTGCCTTGCGTGATTTTTGTGGGATGCTCTGCAGGG